ACTAAATGTGGCATTACCATCGGCGGCTCATAAATATCATAATCCCTGGGATAGCAATGACTACTAAATTACAGCATGCAGCACATGTATATAAGAAGGGATGCACTGCAAGAGATGAATGCCCGTTTTGTTTGTGAGAAACGATGTGTGCAAGAGGGAAGACCCAGAGGAACAGTGCCCAACTGTGGGGCGATCCCTGTATCCCAACAGGCCCCGGATAAACCGCGTACAGCTGTGTTTAGAGGGGTTCACTGAGTTAATTCTAAACACAGGGATGTGACGTGGGGTTATGTGTGGGCACACACATTCACACAAACACTGCTTCAGGAAGACAAGGAAAGCCACTGAAGTAACACTGTGCCAGCTGGCATCAGGAGACAGACACCCGCACATCCCTGCAGCCCACTTGACTGCATTAAAAAGGCTTCATCAAAGCCATTCATGCTTGAGTCATTATCCCATTTGCAAGACAAATAAGGAAGTTAGATTGGTCAGTTGATTCTTACAAGAGGCAAGGACCAGATAGCATTGTCTTTAAAATGTAACCTAGCACAGCTTCTGACCCTAGAGCTCCCCAAAGGATGAATAAAGACCATAGACCATCAACCTTTGGTCGCTTTTAAGATCTCTTTCAGATTGCCAATGATTGCTCATTATCTAATAATTAAGTGAATTAATAATACAGTTTATTTGGCACTATTGGTTGGTTTCTTTTCAGAGGGAGAATAGACATGTTATCTTTTGTTTCTGTCTCCAATGACAAACAAATCAAGTGTTTTGTTTAGAAAAGATTGCCCAATAGGAGTTATAAAACCCAGTAACTATTTCAGATTTAAAATGCTCCTTTTGGCTTCCTCTCTAACTATTTATCCCTTTATCAGGCTCAGAAATAGTTCTATAACTTCAATGTCCGAAACCACTATAAAACTAGAATATATTTATAAAAAAATGTGGCTTCTGCAGCTAATTGTTTTCACACAATCCTTTTTGGGGTAACAAAGTTAAGTGTGCAGATTGTATGTGCATGCCACAGTTTAAGTTTAGTAAAGACTAAAAAGTAAACTAAAAAGGAAAATAACTGATGGAAGTGAGAAACACAGCCTTTTAAGCAGCACTTTATTCCACTTAGCCCGAGGCAGGCTGGCTGTAACACCACCTTCTAATCTCTTGAGAATAATTTTTGAGTGCCTAATAGTGATAGAATGAATATATATGAATTTACTGCTACATAAAGTATTTTAAAAGGGTTCTGAAAAGACAGTTCTGTCCTCCAAAGCCATTACTTTTGATCATGCAAAACACAGACACGATTCGATTCTTATTATGAAAACTAATTTCTATTATAATTCAATTCAAGGATGTTTGATCTAAACATGAATAAGATGTCTAGGGTCGCACATTTCTGACCTCTTATAGAATGAGTGTTGTCACTGTAGATTGCAGAGCCATTGATTTGCTTTGCTTGGAAACTTATCTGATAATTGCCAACCACAGACTGTTGACTTAGCTCTGTCCCTTTTATTGAATTTAATGAACCCAACAGGTTTGCAGATTAATCTACACATTTTGTCCTTCAGATGACACCTAGAGATGCCCTTGGAATCTAATACAAAGACTAGTAATAAATAAACATAGACATGACCTATATATTCAAATCAAAGCCCACTTTAATAGTAAGGTAAATTTTGCAGATTAATCAACAATAAAATAACATGCTTCCATTGTGGCTGTGAAAATAAGTGAATCTTGGACCAATAAACTTTGTACATATTCAGCTCAGTTTATTTCTATAGCGCCAAATCACAACACATTACAGTTCACCAGATCTTACAGTCAAATTGATTTAATGTTTTCTATCTAAGAAAAACCAGTTGATTGCATCAACTCTTTGACTTGGATGCAATCCCTCACACTAAGCATGCTTGTAGCGACAGTGGTGAGGAAAAACTCCCGTTTAACATAAAGAAGCCTCCAGCAGAACCAGGCTCAGTGTGAGCGGCCATCTGCTGAGGCAGACTGGGGTTCAAGGAGACAGAAGCAGAGATACAAAAAGCAACTGTAAACACACAGCCAGCTCATTTATATTTTCAATAAAACTAGATTCAGTATTGTGCTTATATTCTTTTCAACTCTGACATAGAACCTACCATAAACACAGCTGTTTTTGAACCAGGGATTAGGTTTAAATATATTCAATTTATTTAAAAAAAAGGCTTCATTTGCAATATCATTCAAATATTCTGCAAAGGGATATAATCTAAGCCTGGTGTAACAGAAGTAGAATAGAAGAAGAACCTTGAATTAATAAACGGAATTCCTTGAAAAGTGTGGAAAAAATGTGTTTTTAAAGTTTTTTTTCCCAGATAAATAAAAATATGAGTTTTAGAAAAAATATATTTATATTTGATATAACCAAAGCCCGTTTGTTAAAAGCATTACAGAGTTTGAAACAGAGCAGGTCTAATCCAGATGCGCGGTTCGGGAATTACGCAGGTGGATTAGGTCGTTAATTAACGATTTGCTTGTTTGCAGAGATTACTGTCTGAAGATCAGAAGCCCGTTTTAACGTTACATTTTTGGAGTTTTTACAATATACAATGGTTTAACTTTATATGAAATCAACTTGAGGAAGAAATTTGAGGTATGTTGGTGTTTTATTTCCAATCAGCTTTGAAGTGTCAGCGCGCGGCCTTAGTCCAAAACATTGAGCGTCTTTTTTCATTTTTTTTTTTTTAGGCTAATGCTAAAGTTATAAACAAATGGCATTAAAACCAGAATTATCTACCATATAACTTTTATTCTTGACCGTTTGGTATTTTTCAGACAAAAAAGCTGCACAATTAGTTTAATTTTACCCGTACCGTTTGTTGCTCGCTTTAGTTAAGCCACCATCATCTTAAATGATTTAGTAATCATGGTATTGCTTTGGTTTGTGTTGTTGTTATAGAAATATTTTTTTTTTCTCAAGCAAAATTTCCCATTTTACATCCATGGTGCAATAAAGTTGTATAAATGTAGTGTTTTGGTGGCCTAATTATAACCCCATTATATATTATTTTAGAAACAGTGTTTAGTCTTTGTTTTGACTGAAATTAATTGCCATACTTCATGTGTTTTATTTATTTATTTTTTAATTCCATAGCATCTAAAAAAACGATGGAATTTTGGCTCAAGAAAATCAATACTGTGAGTACTGATCAATGCATTAATCTATTGTGTTTTCCTTGTTAAGCCATTACCTTGAAATATTTAGAATATATATGTGAATGCTATTGAAGTTTTGTTTTAAATGGTTATAAATGCATTAAAAGCCTTCCACGAATCTGCAAAAATGACTTTAGAGGTGGTTTTCCCCATGGCAATGGACAGCTAGTTTGACTTCCTTGATATGTTAAGGATAACAAATATGGGGGAAGTCATTTTAATAGTAGGATGCACTATTCATGAGATCCGCTTTGCAGCTCTCGATGCAGGTCCAGCAGATTCTGCAACAGTTTCTTCCCCACTGCTATCAGACAGATGAACTTTTGAAAAACAAAATTCTCTAAATCATGTCACAGATTCTGCATTACACTGATAACGCCGATCCAAAAATACTGCATTTAAATGCTCTGAACATCCATATCGATGCACCCATGTTTCTTTCTCCCAAACTGTTTACATTGCTGCAATGTTTGGAATGGAAATGTTCATGTACTGTCTGAAAAGCTGTACGAAATTTCCTTTTTCTATACACTCTATGTATAGAAAATGATAATAAGTCTAATTAGTATTGGGGAAGTTTACTAACCTGTGGCAATGAACATATTTTGGTGATGGAAATGATATTTCAATATATATATATATATATATAAATCTGCATGGAATATTGTGGTAATAAAGCAGTGCAGGCGAGTTGCTGTGGTTTACATGCGGCTGTCTAGTTGTGAAGTTTTTTCTGCCTGTAGGTGGGGCTCTGATGCAGCGTTTCAAAGCGACAGTCCTCTGTTGAAGTATAGGAGCTGGGAGCAAAGGAGAGAGAGGATGCTGCAGGAGGCATCCTAAATGACACCAAAACTCTGGACACAGAATATTTCCTAGATATAATAGTTACTGGACTATTGTGATTTTAGACACTGGTAAATGTTTATTTGGATTGGGTATATTTTTACTATTAAGGGTACTTTGAAACCAATAGATCACACACAAAAATAATACCTTAATAAAGTGTTAGTGATGGATTCGACTGAAATAGCTTTGCTGTGCAGATAAGTCTTATTTTAAGGAGAATGCGTTATTCCAGCATCATCACCATGCAGCCTATTTTGCTGAATACATTATTACATAATTAGGCTTTTAGAATATTAATTGCTTTAAATGCAAAAGGGTGGTGGGGGTGCTTTCCCGAGGCATGTAAAATATCATCATTAGGAGGTGGGGGGAGAACAGATTGGGATCCCTCAGAACCATGCAGGGGTCGTTATTATGTTGCTATGTATGCCTAATCTCAGCTTTTAAATGATCCCGAGATTAGATGCAAATCCGATGATCTGATCATTTCACCCTTGTATTGTTAAAAAAAATATATTTTGGCATTGCCAAATCTCATTCTTAACGGGATGAACGCATTATATAAACACTCTCCTGGCTTCACTGCATATTTTCTAACATAAAGTGAAGCCACATTATAAGTTGCATCATTGTTTTTTTCGTTTAGGTGTTGAAACTAGAAATGACACTATTTTAGTGATTTAGATCCTCTTGAAAAATGTTCGCCTTGCAAATAGAAATGGATGCGCGCTGGATGTTTATGGCCAGAATGCGTAAAGCCCCCCAGCAAGGCTCCAAGAATCTAAAATGAATCCCCCACCCCATCCCCTGATCTGAGATGTCACTGCGGACGCAGGTGAGAACACTGGTGGAGGCTCCATCCTCCAAACAAGTCTCCTTGCCTTCCTCTCCACCTCTGGCCGTCCCTCCCTCCCTCCCTCCCTCCCTTCTCTCTCTTTCGCTCTCCGCAGCAGCAGCAGCCGCCTCAGTAGGGCAGGAGCACCGCACTGAGTCACATCTCTATTACACGCACGCACCTTCACGCACACAGACGCAGCCTCCTGCGGTATATCCCGCGCAAGGCGCAGCAGCTTTTCCCACGGCATACTAAGTGCGTCCTCGCCGGGAGATGGGAGGTGCGGCTCCTGGGTCTGAGAGCGCTCAAAGCGGCTTGGTGTAGAGGCTGATCGGGGAATGCCGCTGGAAGTCTGCTGCTATTTCTGTTCCCAGTGCAGGATTCACATTTTAACTGCGCCGCTGCCAGGGATTTAAAGTCAACAAGCCTTCTGATCAGGATTGTTATTCTGAACATTTCACTCTTTTCTTTTTGCGGGGTGAGAGAGTAAGCAGAGTTGGGATTTGCTGTGGAGGTGCCCCTTCTCCGCAGTGCCGATGCGGTTGTGGCTGATTTCTGCATAGATTACAGGTACGGAAATGGTCTTTTTTAAGATTTTAGTTCTTATGATCAGCGTTGCTTTCAAGGCGCTTTTGGTGCTTTTACTGCCGGAGATTAGGTTGGAGTTTCCACTGCACCATCCAGGTGGCAGGAGGCGTGTTGCACCTGTTCTGGCTGCGCCATGCGCGCTCTGCTCCTGCGTCCGGACAGGCGTTCATCCCGCTGCAGGATCACTCACCTGTCTAACACAACTACTTAACTTTTTGCTATTGAAACCTGCAGGATATTAAAAACCGAGATTGTTTCAGATATCAACCTGATTTTCGCGTTGCCTTGTATTCTTCTTCTTAGCTATAGAGGAAATACCACCCCATACTGCAATCCTTTAAAATAGTTAATTGGTTATATATATTGTCTAAAATGAATGAAATAATGTGGACTTTATATTAAACATACGCACGTCCAGACCTTTATTTAAAATGGATTCAGTCTAGACTTTTCTCTAAATTATTGAAACCGTCAAACTAAGTAACGCTCCATTTCCCATCATTTTATCTGGAATATTAATAGATATTAAAAAGGAATATCTACTCAACCACTGCTGCAGTTCAACTTTATAAATAAATGTAGATATGTGTAGGATTAGTTTTACGCAGCTTTTTGATCTCGAGTAGATTTAATAAAACATTTTTTTTTAATATAATCATTTTGTATACATTCCAAAAAGAACATTGATTTTAATGTATTCATGCCTGAATGGTTCAGATTACTGGGGTATGTCCTTTAAGATTCTTAATTGGTGTTTCATAAACCCAGCTTCATATCAGGGACAACCTCGTGGCATCTGTCTGGACTTTGTCTTAGTTTAAGGTCAGTTGATTTTATGCACTTTATTATTATTTTATTTTAGGGCATATTTGTAAATAGAAGCCTATTAACTTATATGGAATCAAATCTATTGGAAGCTTAATTTAACAATTTAGATTTTTTTTAATTAGCCAGAAAAGTAATGTGAAATATGATAAATATTCATTTAGAGTACATCTTCGTTTATTCGTTTAAGTGTTATGGGAATCTTCTTACCTTAATGCATTAAGCTTGCTGTAATTTTCTTTTGTTGGATTGTTAGGTTAAATATTGCCCTGCTCATTACAGCTCATGGTAATTTTCATGCAACACTATCATCTACACTTGTGAAGGCTTGTTGGAGTCTGAACTGATTGAAATGGAGATGAAAGAAGGAACTCATTGAAAGGTGTTTTGACATGTAGCATGAATAATCGTGGGCACAACAAAAACAAACTAAAACTGGCTAGTATGGTTAGTCCTGGCTCACGATCCCTGACATGATCTCTTCCCTGTTGAAAATGGTTATCCTCTTTACAGCAGTGGCTCTGAGCCCCTCTACTGGTTTCTTTCTCCTTATAAAACGTAGTCATGGCTCAGTTCAGCTTATTTCTTCTCATGCCAATTTTGAAATATATATATATATATTTTTCTTTATCTGTAAATGAGTAACAAATATCCCTACATTTATGTGGTTTTTGGAGTTTTTAATAAAAGAAACAAAACAGGATCCCATTTTTAATCTAAATCATTCAACATATAGGTGGAAAGACAAAGCTGTATGTTAGATATCCATTAGGGGCAGTGTGGTTCACAGGCTTGTGAGGCAGAGTTTGATTCATTGTACTAGGCTTCTAGTATGAGAAATTGCATAATTCTTGCTGGATTTTTGGTTTTGAAGAACATGGTTGGATACCTCAATGCTACAGACAGCTATTATAAGATTTATGGGGATAGACTGCTGGAGGATGGTTGACTGTGAGCAGGAATTTTAATTATTTCAAACTGTATTTTGACATTTCTTTGCATAATTAGGACAAGCTTTTTTCTCTATATCATATTTCAACACATTTCTGGATCTTTCCTCATGTTTCATCTGGGAGCAAAATATTCTACTTGAGCAACAACCAACAGCCCAATTGTATAATTGTTTTGCATGCTTAAATTTTCTCTGAGAGTTGACCTCTGTGCAAGCAGTAAAAACTCAGACCTTTCCATTTTCTCTTCCTCTCCCTGTGTGCTGTCTATCAAAAGCTTCCATAGGAATTGAAACTCTAGCCTTTATTGGCACATAAGCACCTCATTGACATACCAGCCCCTGTCTGTCAGCCAGTGTTACAGCAGTTTGGACCTGCAGAGCAGGCCTTGTCAATATTACGACCTGCTAATGGATAAACTCTCACTCCAGCCTTAGTAGTGAAGACATTAACAGCGTTATGGGGCAGTACCCTTGCAAGAATAAGCACCGCATTAAATCTTTGCAGGGTTTTCATGTCAAGGGGAAAACTAACTCATTATGAATGGGGGAAAATCTCTGACACATTCTCCATAGTGATATCAATGCCTAGTGGCCATGTAGGCAAGATCCAGCGGAAGTGTGTTTGTGTGGCTGAGTGTGGGTGTGAAGGATGCATCTGTGAATGGCTGGCGAGGCCCCATATGAATACCTCGGTCACAGAGACGTATCGTCATGTCAGACTGAATGATGCGTCTGTGAATTAGACCTGAATGGAGTTCTCTGTTTGTTCTCATTCTCTCTCTCTCTCTCTGTTTCCCTCCCTCCCTCACTCACTTGTACACACTTACACCCCTCTGCGCTGTGACAGGACTACCAGACACAGGCCAGTGTCCAATTAGGCTCGCTCCTCTCTCACGCCACCCAACACCACAGAGGAGATTGCAAATTGTATTTCTGTCTCCCCAACTGTTCTTCCCACCGTGTTGCGTCTAGCATATTTCAGAGCAGTAAGAGATAATAAGCGCAGGGGTGTTAACCTGTCAGTGGGTTTTAGGTAGTTTGATCCTTTTTTTTTTTTTAGCTTTGTAAAATGACTGCTACGGTAAATTCACTTCTGTTATACCTTTTCATATTTAGTCATTTTACAATAAAAAAAGCATGTATCTGTTTTGTTAGTTGATGCTGAAGTGGAAGGAGATTTAAACTCCTGCATGTACTTGCATGCAACATTTATGAGTTAAAACTTTGTTCATGTTTTTAGAGGGACGATACGTCTCTTCCAGCTTTGCAGATCTATTTCGTGGTTAAGGCCAACATTGGATTTAGTGCTTGACTTTAACTTGAGTGTTACTGTAACACATAAGTATGCTTCGTTGTAGCTGTTGCTTTACATGCATGGTTGCTGTCTTCTTGTAAAGTGTTCCCACATCATGATGCTGCCACCGGCGTGTGTCACAGTTGGGATGTTGTGTTCTGTAGGATTTGCATTTTCTTCTACGTTTTTGCTGTCCCCCCCCACCTTGGCTTGTGTGAAACTGCATTTCTTCTTTCTTCATTCTTTGCTTCCATAAAGGTCAGACCAGTGGAGTGCACCGTTTTGATGATTGGTTTTCCTTGGCCCGCCACTTGCTTTAGATGAATAGCCACATCTTGGTAGGTTTATTATTGTGCAAGATCTCCAAGCCCTGTTTTAACGTCTTCAAAACTTTATCCCTGATATGTCTGGAATTTCTCCTTGGCCTTCATCTGTTGATCTCTAACAAAGCTTCCAGACTTTCACAAAAAGGCTGTACTTATAAAATACCAACTGGTTTATTTAGGTGAATCAGAGTGGCCAAATATATTTTTTGATACTGCAAGAGACTCTCTGTTGGTTATGTTTTTGTTTTTTGTTTTTTGATGAAATAAAATTTCAAGTCAGGGAATTTTATGGTACATTAAAGGGAATAACGGCTTACAAGTTTGTAATTAAGCCTTTTGTTATGCACCACTTTGCTATTGATGTTTGCCCCAGCAATGACAGCAAGGATCCGTACTAAGGATCTCCAAACAAAAAGATTTGTGAATGCTTTGAGAAGAAATCAATACAAGAGACAGCTTCTCTTTTAATGAGAACCCTTTTTGCTCTTGTCTGATCTGTTAAGTCAGCATATGCTTTCAACTACAAAGATTTGTCTACATGTGTGTTTTTACTGTTTAAAAAAAGGTTACTTGACTTGAAAATCATACTAAGATGTCAATTTCCTATTTTAAGGGGTTTAACACATGCACATGCTACTATCACAGCTGCATATTTTTTCTTTCCTCCCTCTAGGATTCCCTGGTGCTATTATTTCAACTTATTACTCAGTCCTTCTCTTGCAGTTTCTGCCTCTAGCTGTCTCCTTCCATATCTTTCTTCCTCACTCTAAGCTGCCAAGTGCATAACTTTGTGTGTGTATTTGTGTACATTACCAGGCAAAAAGAGTGCGAAAAAAAAGAACAAAAAAACAGACTGCTTTGACATTGGAATGACCTATGAGGAAGGGTATAAATGGAGAAAAGGATGTTGTAGATGTGAGGCAGGGGGATATGGAAAGGCAGCAGCACATCAGTGGGATTGCCAGACTGCTCTTTTTGATAAGACCATATTAGGCGTTTCTCCGAGGTCCCTATGATTCATATGGAGCTGTGACTCTGATGTATAAACACTTCTCTTTGATGCAGCGGCTGTTGACGTGCTGTGGCATATTGGTTCATATGCTTGTGTGCACCAAGTCAAGCATGACTAGCAGTAAATTAGTTTTGTTTCAGATGCATGAAATGATGAGAAAATTGCACACAGTCTTAGGGCTTTTTATTGCCCCATGTTCATTCTCATTTGCTCCTTCACTGATGCTCTAAGTCCTTGCATGGATTAGGCTTCTGATTCTGCTTTCATTCTGGTCTTTGCACAAAAATGCAGAGGAGCAGTCTGTAACACATTAACATATACTTGCATGCTCCATTAGTTTAGATCAAAAAGAAACACTTGACTCACAATATTATCTTATTACCCAATTTTCTTTTCTCTGATTTGCACAACATACTTCAAGGACAACGTGCTGCATGGATTGTTTTCTTTATTTTGTTCACTCTTTAAACTTTTGAAATAACTACACAGTGAACTACCAGTTTTTCTAAGACCAACTTAAAGGGATCCTTTGGTAGATTGGGCCCAAAGCAGGGTCAGGTTTTTAAAACCACA